TCCTCTTCCTTACTTCATCTCTCATCTTTATTGATATGGTCTTCAAGGACTCATATAATTGCTCTCATCATGATTCTAATTAACCACAGGAATTTTTAAAAGGACATAGTTCTCTGCCTTCAAATCCAAAATGAACAAAGCAAATTTCCTTTTTTCTCTCCAAACATTTTTTTATGAAACTATTAAAATGAGAAAACTGTACATTTATGATTCTCAATTTCATTTCCTTGGATCCCTATATTTAGTTTTATGACTTCCTTTCAAATAGCTCTCGGGATCCCCTTTCTGTACCGGTTACAATTAATTGCCACTGTTCTAATGTTGCACAGCCAAATACCCCAAATGGCCAGACAGAGTAAGTGAGTAATACAGTCCATGCAAAAGAAAAAAAAAAATCCTATTTTATTTACATTAAAATATCAAATTTCATTTATAAGCAGAGCCTATTTGAAAGCCAAATTTAGCTCTCTGGGCATTCTGTTCACAGAACCTGCTTTGTGACGATGTGCCCTGTGTGGACACTGAGGAACCCAAGTTTAGAAAACATCCACATTTAGAGAGATTTCTGCTGCCACTGTCTTGGAATACTCTGAGCTTTGAAAAATGAGTCCCACACTATCATTTAGCATTGGGCTTGAAAATTAAGCAGCTAGAGCCTCCTTGGTGGCGAAGGGGTTAAAGTCTCAGTGCTATCAAGCCATTGCCAGCCACTGCAGCATGAGTTCGATTCCTGGCCAGGGAGCTGACCCGCGTGGTGAAGCAGACCTGTCCTGTATCGCCTACTGTTCCCCCAGCAGTGAATTTCAGTAGATCCTCCTGTTCTGTTCCCCACTCTGTCTCTGGCAAATCCTCTCATCCCCCATGCCTCTGGCCTTCATCCCAGCTTTTGTATGCATAAACAAGTAAAATAAATCTTAAAAAAAAAGAAAAGAAAATTAAGCAGTTGGTCCTGCTCAAAATCATTGTTGTACTCCGCCCTGAATTACTGAAACATCACCTCAGCTTGTGGCTCTACCACTGGGGTTTCTATCCTCAACCCATATTACACAGAGCTCGGGGCCTGATTTTTGCAGATACCAATTTTATTATTTTGGCCTCTGTTCTGCTATGCAGTCAGAGCTCCTTTGCTTGGTGCGGATGTCGTTGCAAAGTTAACCCTTCTCTACATTGTGTCCTGCGCTTCCTAACATCCTCTATTGCAGTCAGGTTGGTCTCACCATTTTATTGCTACTTAATCCTAACTCCAGAGTACAGTTCATGCTTCTCATTAGATCTAAAAATGTGACCTTCCTTCTTTTCTGCAAAACATCTTTGTGGGTTCCTATGAGCTCGCTACTAGCTGGCCACTCATGGGCAACTGTGACCTATTTGCTATCTACAAATCACAGCAAATAATTCCTTGACTACCTACAGAGTATAGCTCGTATCATGAAACAGCCCGGGGACGCCCAGGCCGCTATTGACCTGATTACGTGACTGTCTCCATGGCGGTCTCGGGATAACACTGTGTGTGATGGCATCATACTTTGCTGATACAAATGTCTCTTCACGTATGGTGTCCCCTTCCCTATCCCTCATAAAACTTTGTTCCCCATTCCTATCCCATCCTTTGGACCCTGTTCCTCATACCATTGTCACGTGATCAGCTTTTACGAGCCTGCATGCTTTCAATAAATGGCACACTAACTTCTGCTCAAGTAGCAGAGTCTTGCTTTGCAAACCTACTCCATGACTGCTGTCCCTCATGGCGTTCCCCCACAAAGTGGCAACAAATTTCCTGTCCCAACACATCTTCAATATTTTAGGCCTCCCTCTGAGTACTCCACAAAATTTTCATAATTATTCTCATCCCTAGGCATTTATCCAGCTTCAGATTTTCTAGAATTGTTCCAGCATTATACTACTTATCATGTGTTATCAACATGAGAATCATACAGACCTAATGAACACAATCTCAAAGGAAGCTCCCCAAGAACCTGAAATTCAGATAAGTATACCAACAGTCATGATAAAGAAGGTCCGTAAATGATACCAGGGGATACAGATACTACAAGTGTGTTTCATGAAAATTCACCTGTTCCACATTATAAATTCTCACAGCAGAATAATACAAGCAATCTATAATTACCAGCACAATGCTAACTTACAATTACTCGTTTGATAATATTTTAATTACTGAAAAATTTTGAATTGCAGTAACACTAGTTTATAACACTGTGTATGATTTAGAGATACAGCTTCACACCTATTCAAATGCATATTGCCAACCTATACCCACCATCAAGACTCCAAAGTATTTCACCATTGTCCATTGGACACTTCCCCTTTGCTGTCCAGTTTCTGCTTCTACCTCTGGTTTCTCAACTTCACATTAACATTTATGGGGGCTGTTTTTGGCCTGGTTTTGTGTAACCCTTTGTTTATATCCATATATGAGTGACACCCTCTATATTTGTCTTTCTTATGGCTTATATGACTTAGCATAATCACTTCCAGTTCTATCCATGTTGTCCTGAGCTTTCTTTCCTCAGTCAAGGATATATTCCTCTGCCCAGTTAGCTCTCCCCTCCCTATTAGTAGTGCTATGGTTTGTACTGTAGCCTCCCCATGGGTTAGGCATTTTTCTCCACCCAACTATAGTTTAATGACACATGAATGACTCAGGTGTGTGCTGGCACAGTGCATGCTGGTCATCTGTTTACCCCCAAGTCATGAGACCCTCTAGATATAGTGCCATTTTGGGATAATTTTTAAATTATTCTCCCAGGAATAAAGCAAGGACTTTTCTCTGATACCATCTTGGTCCAGTCTCAACACCTGCATTGTGATATTTTAATATGTTGTATTATAAGTTTTTGCCAGGTTAAGAACCTTCTGTAAAGTCTCAGTTCAACTAAAATGCAACTAAAGTCCATTTTAGAAATTACAGAAGGTAAAACACACTTTTCTTACACACACCAAAAAAGAGCTAATAGAACTGAAATTAAGCTTTGAAAGAATATCCAATAGCTCTTCAGAAATATCTTGATGATTTAAATATAAATGAACTGGAATTACATGGATTACAGTCCCATTGAAATATTTATGTGGACTAATACTTGGCAAACTGTTGTTCAGTTTTGGCAGCCCTAAAATGTGGAAAAAAGTAGTTCAAGATGCTTTGGCAAAATTTAAACATCACAGAATTATCCAGTTTCTTATTGCAGAATTTGCCAGCATTATATCCCCAACATGTGGTCTTTATCCCTAGTCCATATACCAAGCACAATAAACCTGTCTGGGTGGTCACCAATGAGCTTATAAAGTTTGTGTATTTATTTGCTCTTTTACTTTAAAAAACCTGTTAGTAGGAATTGAATGTAAATGAATAGAGTGACCAAAGATTTCAAAAACCACGGATTTGTAATATATTCCATAAAGCTAGAACTCTTTGCAAGGGTTTTATAATTATTAATATATAACATGCCTTTCTAGAAGAATTTGATTAATGTAAAAAGATATAAAGCATCAAGATGAATGTTAGACTGAAGTTCTTGCTCCAGAACAAACAGCAGGTGGTCCAGCCATAAGGTGTACATATGGCTGAGACACAGTGCTCCCATGAATTCTGCTCCAAGAAACGCATCTTATAACCCATGGGGAATAGAGTTTCTGCCATTGTGACCGGACTTTTGGATCTTCCTATAGGCAACAGATGCACACAACATCTTTGCATTGAAGAGATTTCTCTTCTTTGAGTCCGCTCCTCTCTTCAGTCGAGAAATTGTTCCTATGACACCCTTATCAGATTATGTATTTCTAATTCACTAATACAGCTAGATCTTCTATTCTTACATATTGAACATTAATTATACTCTGTTACATTAAATAATCCTTTTAATTCCTTATTATGTACATAAGTGATTATGTATACGCAGATTATATATTTTCCATACAACTAATAAATTGGATTCCCATGTTCATTTTTTTAAAAGATGTGATTATATTTACTTACATATATGTATACATATATGCTTACATACACGTGTATATATAATGTAGAAGGATTAAAAAATTACATTCAGCTGTTTACTCTTGAGTAATTTTTCTCCTTTACATGTTCTGGTTACCCATAAGGATAGTGTTGTTACTCTCTCACCACTCTAGTTCAAGGAGAGTGACCACATATCCATACACAGGTATAGGGATTTATTTGCAGGAATGCATTGCACTGATATAATTATTTGTTGTCTCAACGTGAACAATAAATTATATAGTCACCAAATTTCAAAAAAACATAATCATTATTTGACTACTATAGTCACTTATACTCTATCTACTTTCTTATATCCTAATTAGAAATGAGTACTGAAGAGTTAATTATTGTCAAAGATGACCTTTACAAATGTTTAAAAGAAGCCATCTTAGACACTTCAAATTAATTTCCCTTGAACTATGTCAGTGTACATTAGCAGAGAAAAGATGGCAAAGCAGTTTCTTAGCAAATATCATAATCTAACTGTATTATGCTGGAGTAATTATATTACATTTTAAACCTATTATAATGAATGACAGGGAATTGTTTTTTAAGAGAAAAAATTAAGATATAAAAGGAAACCTAATAAAAATATAAGAATAGCTAACAACTCTGGAGTCAAATTCTCCCTAGCACACTTGTCAAATATACTTGTCACTCCTGATAATATATTGAGGTCATATGATGATCATGAACATCTTCAACCCAGTGAGGTTTTTTTACGCAAGTGTGTTTCTCCTGCAATTATGCTCAAAAATATTTAGATCTCCAAAGTTCCGAAGTCCTCAACTCTTTGTCATTTCTTGGTTATACATTTCTCTGAAGGCAAGTAACTTGAAAATATAATTTCTTGAGTGCCTTTCCAGCACTGTTATATTATCTCAAATACCCAAGGAAGACAGACTATGTTTTCCTTTGGCAGCTCTTTAGCTCACTCATTACCTGTGTGCTGATGATTATGGGCTGGTTCTACCTTACCTTTCAGATTCTCATTTCCAGTTGTTCTGGAGCTTCAAAATCAACTACTTCTTCCTTCATTGTCCATTCCTTTTGTGGTTTCTTCCAGCCCTAGATGGTTGAAAGAAATAAATCCTAAGAGGACGAGTCTCTTCAAAAGTTGAGAAAGAGTCTAATCAATCTTACATCATAACCTGAAACAGTAAATAATTATCTTGTGTAAAGTACAATTTTCCACATTAAGAGTGACTTGTACATTAAATTTTTCAGTTATTGTTGTATTTATTCACTTTATTCCAAGAAGAATCAATTACATCTTAGATCCTCAAATTCAGCCTAGCCCAGACTTTGTAAAGAAAGTTTAACTGAAACACAGTTGTGACCATTAATTCACATACTACAATTAAATACCTTCCATAACATTTAGTCAGTTGTATAACTTTAAAGAACATATATATTAATTGACCATGTTTCTAAAAAATACATTGTAGTTATTAACTCACCTATTCATCTGTTGAATATAGACTAACAAAATAATAGTACATTATTCCTATTGAGTACATGTATTGGGTCAACAAATATTCAATATGTGCTTTATATTTGTGCTATAGGTGTTTTATGCCTGTTACTGATGTTAGTCAATTTAAATGTTATCTTTATTTAACATTTGGAGAAAGTGTCTTGGTAAAGATAAATATCTAAAATCTTAGAGCCAGGGGATATCAGAGCTAAGATTCAAATTCAATTATTAGACTTATATCCATTTATCTTCTAATATTTCACTGGCTTGAAAATCTTCAATAAAAGGTTCATGGCCTAAAGATTTGTAAGTTCAATTTACAGACTCATAAAATGATAGAATTGGAGAGTCTCCCTTAAAAAGCATCCAGCTTAGTCCGTTTATTTTACAAATAAGGCTATTGAAGTTCTTCATTTGCATGGAAGTTTTAAAGAAACGCACTTACTCTTTGATTAGCAAATTAATTTACAGTTCAGGTAATAGCAAATACTAAATTAAAAGAGGTAATACTCTTGCCTGTCAATGTAAAATCTTTTTGTAATAATGCAGGTATCTTTCCTTCAGAAATACACTTTTTCTTCCCTATGATCTGAGGTACACAAAGAGAAATTAAAATGTGATCCTGCCTGCCTGTGATTATGCAGGTGTCTTTTTTTCTTTCTCCCTTTCCTCATAATCCTGTCCTTTTAAATGTAAATGAATAAATAAAATGTGATTTGGATCATTTTTCCTATTTGTTGATAAATTTAGGATACATATGCTGATGTCATCAATATATGCTTACTGGAAAAGTAACTTGTACTGCTTATCCCTTATTACATTTCATATTTCCGTGACTCACACAGAGAGAACAAACAGTTCCTTTTAAAAATTTTAAATTGGAATAAACAAATATGATCTTCAAATTTTTTCTGCAAATCAGTAAGAGTATAAAAGTTATTTCTGATAATTTTGAACTCTAATCAAACTAAAGGAAAATGTTATATAGAACAATGGAAACTTATGAAACATATTTACACTTAGGATTTTTCATTCCAGGACTCAGAATTTGCATTGTTTATCTTATATTTACTTGTAGAAAGGGGAGGTCTAAAAAGTACTAAGGGACACAAAAGACATTTACAATTTACAATTTCTATTGTAGCCCTATTTAATTTCCATTAATATTAACATTGGGTAAGTTGCTTGGGTTTTTGCAAGATATTTTATACCATTATTTACGGAAATAAAGAAAAATTAATTGATAAGCCATGATTCCACACCAAGTTCAGATTTCTTGAATTTTATGCTTGAAATTGAACCATAATTACAAGTCATTATAAACATAGAAATAATATGAATGACTCTAAACCTCAGATCACTTTTTAATGAGTCCTTTAGGTATAATGTTATTTGTATACTAATGATGAATTTACACACTTGAATGCCTAAAGAGCATACATTTACTACCTATACACATACTCATATAGATATATCCATACATATATACACACATATACATACAGATACCTATATAGATATAAAATTAATATTTACTCTATCATCTATAAATCTATAGCATCAGTTGAAAAGAAATCTGATAACCATTCTTCAGAGTTCCCACTTTATTTTTCTACTTTATTTTTATAATTGTTCAATTTATTCCTTAACATAAAATCCCAATTTATTCATTTATTCCTTAACATAAAATCCCAATTTACATATCTTTCATTTATTTTCATAGGCAACTAATGTGTTAGTATAATGTATAAATATTTATACAGTATATGTGTATTGTTATTTATTTACATCTTTTTAAAAAGTCTTGTACAAAATTTCTTGCTCATTTCTTATAATAAAAATGTTTAAATTATATATTAATATATAAAATATGGTAATAGAAAAAAAGGTGATATATCCTTTAGTAGAAAAACTGAAAAATATAAAAATGCTAATTCTACAAATTTCACAAGAAAATTATGGAATTTGCACATATTAAAATTGCCCATCTCTATGGAAACAAAGAAATAATTAAAGAACCAATAAAAATATGAAGATGTATATAGCCATTTTCCAATATTAATGGAAAAATCTCTGCAAACTTGAAATAGTGAGGAAGACTAAATCAGAAGTCCCACAGTAAGCCAGATCACCTGCTGGGGGCAAGGTTTCAACCAGAGAGGGAGCATAAGGTTAAGAGTACCTCAGGCAGCAATGGGATCAAAGCTGGGCTTCCAGAATGACTACCTTGTATTTGTCAGGGAGTAAGATAAAGCTAGTGATTAATGCTGGGGACTTGGTATAAAAATAAAGTCACATAATTAAAAAAAATAATAATGTATTTAATTTGAAACTGGAATAATTTTTAAAATTTAAAAATCTCAATTAGACTGAAGGTAATAAGTGATTTAAAATGAAGAGTGGCTAAAATGCAAAAGAATATGGCAGGAATCCAAGATTTCAGCAGTCTCTATCAATATAAATGACTTAAAAGTTACCCTCAAAACTTATACAATCAGATTAGGTTACAGAAGTAAAATCCAAGCCCAGACACTTGTTGGTAAAACCCTTAAGGATTTTAGAAGTCACAGAAGAAATCAGTCCAAAGTACAGGATGTAATAATATTCTCCAGCAGAGACAATGATTCAAGATTCTGGAATCTCAATCCTCTAAAAAAAAGTAAGCTGAAGATGACCGCATCAGAGCATCAAGAAGACAAATATTTTCAACTTTATGTATGTGAATTTGAAGGAACTGAACAAAGGGTCAGGAATAAGATAAAGATACAGATGTCCAAGTAGTTCTATAGAACAATCTCAAGAAACAGTAAAGGGAAAAAGATTGAGGTGTGTAACATTAAGGCGATAGTGGAAAAGAAAGGGTACATACACGAGACAAAGATAATATTTATTGCCTAACAAATATCTCGAGAAAATGAAGTATGCTGTCCTTTCTAGGAAGACATCTATATAATGGGAACTTATCTATTAACATCTGAAATTTTATCAGCACAAGTGTATGACTTAAAATGTTAAATTTTCCCTTGCTCGTACCACATAAAGAGATCTGTTTTATAAAACATAATATACATTGCAACACATACAACTAAATATTTAACATTTTATATTTGGTAAAACATATTACCTAGACTTTTATTCAAACTTTTATACTAATTAATGAAAAACATAGCAAGAAATGGTCAACAGAAGGATGACCTAAAAATAACATTTAAGTGATATTATTGCAACATTGCCCATTTGTTTTATTAAGTTATTAGTGGTAGGAGGAAATGAACACATTGCTTCATTTTAATTATATGTTTAGATTCCATAATAAACAGCTTATTCATATGATGCAAAATCTTAGTGAAGAAACAATCTACATGCTAAAGTAAATGTGCTTGTGAAAAGTGTCAAGTGATATTATTGAACAGAGCAAAAAGAGATTTGTTGAGATTAGATAAACCAAGGTATCACTTATCAGCTCATCTATTTAGAAAAATTAGACAGAAGAGAAGACAAAGCCAATATTCAAATTATCTGTGTGATTTGTTCTTTTTGACTACAAATTGTCAATGTAAGAATGATGGTGAAAAGAGATGGTAAAAGCAAAATGTTACTTTCATTAGCAGATCAAAATTGCATTTTTAATGGTATGGGAGCAACATCAAGCTCTAATGGCGCCACATTTACCCTCTTTTGGCTTGTCAGTTTGCATTTTGAAGTATTGTTTTTAATGACCTATCTAGAGATTTATTTTTTACGAACATGAATATATTTATGTGTTTCATCTATCAAAAACTTTCTTTGCTATTTATTTCATGATCAGACTGTATTCTTTAAGTGTGGTGGACCTTGACAGATAGTGTCAGTTGATACTAAGCCTATGTCTACATGGAGAGCAACACATTTCTGAAACATGCCCTGACTCTAATCTGCAGTCAAATCAATTAGTACTAGCTTACTACATGCTGATTCAGTTGTAACCTGTAATTCAGAGTTTTCACACTAATTTCACTGGTAAATTTGATGGAAAGCAATACTATGGAAAGATTCTCAGAAATGTTTGCAAACAACAGTAGACACAATAAAACTCAGTTAAGATGAAAATAAAGTCAACTCATTTTCTCTAAAGTGTTTGTGGTTGGGGTATAAGAACTGATTTTTTTTCCTGAATAGTTTTCTGCTATTGCTTTTTCCATCTTCATATTTAAGAGGTCGATTATTTCAGTAGCCGCATGAAGTCACTTCTAGAATCTACAACCTAGAATAAAATAATCTCTTCTATAACTTTTTCAAAACTCAAATATTTTGAGTTTTGAGAAATGAACCAAACATAGACCAAAGCTAACTTGAGAGATGAGAAAATCTGCCCAATGAGGAAAAGAGGGAGGAGGAGATGAGGGTGGAGAAATAGTGAGAATGAGAGAGAGAGAGAGAGAGAGAGAGAGAGAGAGAGAGAGAGAGGAGAGAGAGGAGAGAGAGACTGACTTTGAGATTACTAGAAAATTACTTAAATAAATCTCCCTTGCAGGACTCCGGTCCATGTTGAAACCAGAAAAGGAAGAGAGTGGGCCCTGCTGCCGTCCATGTTAAACAGGTACACCTGGCT